GAGAAAAAAAGGGAATTTGATGTATTCTAAAACGTGCAGGGGCCCACAGGATCCGGTCATAAACAATAAGAGCCATACTCTTCCTCCTGCTGCCACTGCTGGTGCTTGTGGCTTAAATAGGTGTTAGTGTGTGTGAGACATTGTCCAATATCTCTCCAACAGGATTTGAAAGTTGAGAGTTCACTGTGGGTGAATTAAGGGTAATTAAGGTTACAAACAGTTCAAGGGTTCAACTCATGTATTTTCACAGCAAGTGGAGGGAATATTTATTATCATTATTAAATGATAATTCCATGTTTTTGGTTGCTTTTTCTATTGCTTCAAAACCTTCTGCTGGGGGTATTATTATCCTGCTGACTGCCCTTTCAAAATAAAACGGGAGCTCCGCAGCAACAACGCCTTGGATCACAATGGAAAGAAGGATTTTCAGCACATAACTTTCTCGTGCTATTGTGTACATGCTCTTGTGTGTTTTTGTTGCCAAATAGTTATAAAGTTAGGAATTCAGCTACCCCTATATGGCCTTGTGTGTATTAGTGGTGAGATTGAATGTTTGTGAGTCCAATTCACAGTCTGGCAATAACTTGACACTGCGAGTAATGAAGCGCGCTGGGGTTAAGGCCTTCCAAATAATGCAACCTCTGAGGGCGGGAGGACGGAGTGTGTGTGTGTGTGTGTGTGTGTGTGTGTGTGTGTGCAGCAGAGGCTTGTTCCTGTACTATCAATAGGGTCTGATTTCCAATACTTGTACTAGTGAAAAAGTTGCTTGCAGCTGACGGCCATCTGTTATTTTGACCATTTTTATTATACAGAATGTAGATAGTGTTAGGGTGAATAGGCTGCTGTTGAATACATAATCACAGGACAGTGAGGAAGGGAAATGGATGCAGGGGCAGACCTGGATAAATATTCAAGGGGCGACCAAAGGGTGGCAAAAATATATGCTCATTTGATTGCAAATAATCACATGTATCGATATTTGCTTAGAAAGCTCCCAAATGAAGATATTTGAACTTAATAACATTATTGTGGCACATTAGTAAAGCGCTGAATAGAAATTTTCCAAAAAAGTTGAGATATTTTTAAAAAATAAGTATTTTTTAATTAAGTCTATCACTGAGTTTAAAATGTGGCCATAACAGATTATTAAAATATATATGATAATTCCTATTTTTAATACTATTTTTAAAATTAATTTAAAATGTGTTAAATTTTACACCAAACTGGGGTGGCCAGGCATGTTTTAGGGCTGCGACCTCTAGATCCACCCCTGAATGGATGATTTTAAGTTTGGCAATCATGACAGGAGTGACCCATCATGACTGATAATGATAATGCTCCAAACCTACAGGAGTTAGCCTACACAATTCACTGTGTTAGTCGTAAGTAAATGATTATTTGTTGGGGTTTTTTGTCCAATAAATGTATAATGAATTCTTTATTTTACATCTGAACAAACACAAATAAAACAAAAACAGACAAAAAAGAAGACAGATTCAGACATACACATACAATAGCATCCTCCAAAAAGAAAGCAAAAAAAAACAGGGAGACAAAGCACACCCCTGCACATTATGGTATCTCATACCCATCTTCACTGAATCTCTTATTAAATTTAGTTAAAGTTTTATCCTACTTACTTCTTAAATACTACTTGTATCACAGATACAGGGCTGTATATTGACAAGAATCTGGCAATACAATAGGCCCTATGTATCACAATACAGGGATTACACTTCAATATATTGTGATACTGTAAGCAAGGTGATATATTGCAATTTTTGAAAAAAAAAGTCTAAATTTAGGAAAACTTTTATAGTGTAAAGAACACCATCATATGAATAAAAACTGATAAAACACTGCTATCTAGTGTTTGGGGGTTTAAACACAAACATTGATACAGTGTTTTTGAGAATTGATGCAATTTCACAAAACAAATTACTGCGATACAATATTGTCTTCACACGCCTAATCTCACGTTTCATTGTTTGCAAGAGCATTCATCTGGCAAATCTTCAAGGGGAGAAATATAAAACATATACATTTGAATTGATACATTGTTTTTAGTTAACAAAAGAAATGTCTGACGTTGGGAGCCCTTTAAATTGTCATACTGATAGCTTTGTATTACAAATGTCCTCTGATGGACAAATAATTGCCTGTGTTAAAGGACCATACCACAGTTTTTGCATAGTTAAGCTACTCACTTCAAATCACATTTACTTTACTTTATCACTTCAGCACTGTTTTCATCAATGTTTGGACCTCAGTGGAATGTGTGTGTGTGTGTCTGATTCTTTAATTTCCACTGTACACTTTTTTGTATATGTTTCTCCCTTCCAGGCACCACTGGTATTAATCAGTTTGTTTGTTATAAATCATAATTTACTGTTAATGAGGAATAGTTACCAATTATAATTCTTCAATTATAATAATGACCTTTTACTTTGTGGTGCTTTACAAAGCAATGGGTCATGACAGTGAACATTCCACAACTCAGGTCAGTAAATGAATGGAAAGGATACAGGCATCCATTCAAGATATTTAGTTTTTCTTTGTTTTTTTAAAATAATATCATATACAATAATTACCAGTGATACGGGGAAAAGGGGAAGAAAATAACAAAAAGAGCCATCTTCATTCAAAAGTCTATCACAGCCTCACTTTCAGTCCTGCGAGGTAACTAAATTGTAGATATTCCGTTTTTATTCATGAAACGTCAGACCAACGGGTAAATGAATGAAGGAGGCCGCGCGCGACATCACTCTGATTTCCTGGGCTGTCGCTGTCACTTGAACGAGTTGTTTCCATGGTAACGGACAACACAAAGACTACAAGAAGAGTGATGATACCTAGACAATGTCTTACCGAGGGTTTATTGGCCGTCTCTCTAAGGAGGAGCAAGACTTCTGCGACATTCAAAATGCAGCTGCAGAATTTTACCGGGTCAACAGAGTCCCCCAGGCAGTAGAGAGAGCTCTGAACGAGCTCTTCTTCCACCGGCCCGAGGACGTTCACGGTTACCTGGTAGGAGTTCGTTTCCCTGCTGTAAGCTATCTAGCTAACAGATGAGTGCACAGCTAACGTTAGCTAAACACAGTTAACAGCTTGGCTACGTTACTTATTCCCCTGCTGTCTAGTGCTGCCTTCAAGTGCTTCAAGAATATTCCCAACTACGTTAACTTACTTAAATGTGTATGAACCCCCAAATAAAATAAATCAGCGTCAGTGAGTTAACGTACTGAGTGAGTGAGTGCTTTTTTACTTCAAATTATTATCTATTATCCTTCTTAGATACTGACGATATTTCCCAGCCTACCTCAACCTGCAAAACTAGCTTAATTAACTAACTGTTAGCTTACACCACTGGTTGCCAACCTTTTTTCCCTTTTGAGTTAACAAAGTGACATATTTTGTGTATATTTCATGTCATATTCAATGCAGAACAATAACGGACAATAACAACAACTGTTAAACTGTACAATGAACCCATACACAATAACTGCAGGGAGAGTTTTGCTGTTATTCTTAGGATTTTATATATGAAATTCTCTGCCTGTATAAAGTAGAATCCAGAATCAACTTTTAAAATAACTGTTTCATTTAGTTTTCGTCCCAGAAATGAATGAAATGCGGAAATATAAGATAGCTGCATATATTTAGCTGTATATATTTCTCAAAGTTCTCATACACCCTTTAGAATCAAGAAGGCATGACGACACCCCATGTCCTAGTGGACCTAGGGAGCCCATCTTGGGAACCAGTGGCTTTCACCTTCCACTGAGGAGGGGGTGTCTTCTCCTCTTCTTATCTTATCACACTTGTCTGACACACAGAGGATAGCTTGGAAAGAAGTGAGCAGATGGAGGGGGGACGCTAAGCAGAGAAGGCAGAAGTAAACAGAATTGAAAGTCTGATGGACCTTGTCCACAGCAGTGATTTTGACATGAAACAGTAGGGTAAACACGTGTGTTACTATTGATACTAATTGACCCATTTTCCAAATGTGGTTGTCTTTTCAACATAGATTAGCCTAGCACACATCATATCTGAGTTAGGTACAGGAAAGAAAGAAATTGACCAAGGTTCTGACGGAGGCTTGCTCAACTGTTATTGGAGCACAGAGTAAAAAAAGGCGGGGCTTAGAAAGGGTCAATTGAAGGACCAGACTGCAGATTGCAACCATTGCAGTGTTTGGTTTGGCTACTGTAGAAGAGGACCCACTCACTCTGTAGATAAAAACATCTCAACAACCATTCTTATTTTCAGGTGATTATACACCAATGAAAACACATGATATTCCATTACTGACACTAAAGCCTCCTAAATGTTACACACTGGACCTTTAAGGCCCATTTAGTTCAGTAGAGCCTTTCCAGTGAGCCAACGGCAGTACCATGACTTTGTTTGACTTGAAAGGAATGGAACTTTAATCAGTGTCTTTAACCTGTGTTTAGCCTACTATTTCATGTGACAAAATGGCTGCTGTGGAGATATATACATATTTAAAGAGCATTTTACTACACAAAAAATAAAACAGCATAAATAGCGATTTATTAATCATCTGGCGGGCCAAATCAAACCTTATGGTGGGCCAACTTTGGGCTTTTGGGCTTTAGAAGATTGTATAAATGATTTCACACACGTGTCTGGAGTTTTTAGCTTTGTAATAAACATTTCCAGTCACTGTTATTTTTCAGCCAGTATGCCATATTTTAATAGTTTGTAATTTTGGATCAAGATAATAACATTATATTTATTATTAGTATTACTTTTTTTTCTTAATTTTTGAGGAAAGGGCATTCAGTTTGTCAAACTTTTCGGTGGCTTCAAATGCAACACAGATCACCCCAGTGGACGCTCATAATGCTTTGGGGTGGTTGTCATGGAAACAGTACTTAATAGTGAAAAGCTTTTTTTTCTAGCAAAATTCTTCAGGAACTATGTGTCCACGTGACATTGGTTGTGTATTAAATATTTCTCAGGGAAAATTGTTAAATTAAAAACTATGGAAAGTGGAAAACTATTTTGTAGGCTTCTATTTTCACCTTGTAACATTTTAGTGAATGAATTGGCTTTGTGGGGACTAGAGGTTAGAATTTATTGAATTTATTTATTGAAAACAAGAAATATTGAACATGTTTTGGTCAGTCTACATAATCCAACATATAAAATTTCTGTGTTGCTTCTTTTGTAATAAAATTGCAGCCACCACACTAAATGTGTGTGTGTGTGTGTGTGTGTGAATGAGAGCCAGATTGTAAAGTGCAATATCAATGCATATTGTGAGACGTAGGGCTGCACGATATGGTAAAATCATCATATTGTGGTTATTTTGACAGATATTGCGATATGATCCATGATGTTTTATTTTTGTATTACATATTCAATTTTCACAAAAAAAACCAAAACAATTAAAATCATGCGTTAATGTGAAGTTTTGGTGTTTTCCTAAACCTAGAGAACAAGATTTGTAGACCAGGGCACTTGTGCTTGTAGTACAGTACCACATTTTACCTTCATCAAAACCTTGCAGCTCTTGCAATTTGTTTATTGCTTCTGCAATTTGCATATACTTTCAGGCAGAACACTGGCAGAATTTGTGTGTGGTTCCTCAACGAGGTTCAAAATGTCACAACAATATTGTCATTGTAATTTAATTACATTGCAAGAGAATTCAATAAAAAGATTCTAGGTTTTAGACATTTTTTGTTGTTTTGGTTCAGAGTTTATACCGTGTGTATTAACATCCTTGGTGGTGGAAGTACATTGTCCCTTAATTGTAACAGTAAAAAGTATTTTAGCTATGGAAAATGTTTTTAAAAAATCTCTGTGTGATGGATCTAAATTATTCTTTAAATTGTTGTTAATTGCTTGCTAATCAAGGGCATGAGTTCTGACACTGGCTCAATGGCTGTAAGAATCACATAAGTTACATTCAAATGTACAAGAGTTCAGGAGAACATTTTTTTTTAACCATAAACTTTAAACATTCACTTTAGGCAAATTACTTTACAAACCTCTCTGCACCACCAATGATCAGCAGACTGAAGGGAAGGGAGGTTTATGATGCAAGAGGACAACCATCCATCCAGACAGAGGTCTTCTGCATTGTCTGCAACAAGGAAAAGGTAAAATCCATGAGTCACATTTGACCTTTTTGGCTATAGACACAACCTTTTCTCATACAATTCTGCATTACTGTTGAAATGATGTGTCTTTCTAAACTCTGACTGTGGCTAACAGTCGCTCATGTGTCAGATTTTACTTCAGCGTATGCATTAAGCGTAAGGTTGAACAAACAAAGGAGATGTAATTCATTATTGACGTGCTGATGGTTGGAAGTGACAGTAAGGGGCCTCTTCAAACGTGCAGCAGGCTGTAATGTGAAGAGGCAGCTGGAGGCAAGAAGATAGCAATCAGAAAACAGACCTTGACCCTTGCCATTTCAGCTTTTACAGTATCACAACAGCCAGAAAAATGAGATGTGACACCATTAACCAAGGTCTTGGTGAGGTCACTGAGGGCACCTATAGGCCTGTAACCAATGGGCGTGCATCAGCGCTTTTGCTCAGCAGTATTTGTTAATGCTACAACTAATGCCAGTTCCCCAGTGTCAAAGGCAGATTTATTCTAAATAGCATATGCATTGTATAGTGTATTCAAATGTGAATAAATAAGATTTAAGCAACTGGTCAATTTTGTGATTTTGGCCTATTTTCTTTCCATAACATGTCTTTTTTCATTGTAAATACACATTAGGTGTTTATTTTACTGCATTTTGTCTGTCTGCATCTGTAGATTTCACCAAAACATAGCATTAAATAATGCCTAATTTACATATTTAAAAATGTATATAAGTAATCAACTTCCACCTTTCTTTTCATTATAAACTGTCAAAGACAAACATTTACCAAACAATTATCCTGTCTAAAAGAGAAGTTACATGCAGAATCCAATGGCAGTCAATCTGGTACAACCCAGACCTATCAGATGTGCTGTCTTTATCATTTCTTTTCAACAAAGAATCAAGGTTTTTATCAAGTAAACTGGACACAGCTGCGCTAGCCATTGTTAGTCTTCAGAATGAACAGTAATGTGTAATGACAGGAAAAAGCAGTGCAAGTGGTCTGTGAGAAGAAGGGGGTGAAGAGAGACGGATGCTGTGGATGAGAGGAGATGAGGCAGACATATTAACTCATGTCCTCCCCCCTCCAACATGTCCTCCCCCTCCAAGCAGTGTATGTGAAAGTAATGCTAATTCTGAAACGCTTCAGCACAAACAAAGTGAAAAACTGGAGCATGAGTGTGTGTGTGGAGATTGAGGAGGACCTGCTGCTTGTCAGCTGTGTCATTCATACTGTAACAATTTTATGGCAAATAGCTTGTTGATATCCTCTGAATAACCTTTCCCCTCCTGGTGTTCAGCGCATGTCCTCAGCTGCCGTCTCCAGCCACTTTGGGCCGAAGGAGACTTCACTAAACTGGAGTCAGGAGAGGGCTGATCATGTGATGACTGGTGTCCAGTGGATCAATGAACCTCTGAACAACATGCTGAAGGTCCAAAACCCCTGTGACCAATCAGAAGTCGACCATATACTCAGGTAGTGTTCAAATGTGTTTCCATTTACTGTGGAGGGTTTCATCTCTGGTGGGGGGGACCTATGATTGCTTATCCATCTCTAAAGTGGAAATCAGAAATTCATTAATTCATTTACCTAAATTCAAATAGTTAGCTACTAGAACTGATAGACTTTTTACATTAATCTTTAATCAATAATCTGTAACTCATATTTGTAATACTATAAGGCAAACAAACCAACAAACAAACAGATAAATAAGTAGTGCCATTTTTGCATTAGGATACAGTGGGGTCACATGTAGTTTGATGTGTGTTGACCTCCTGGGACGGGGTCATTCAGAGGTTAATGCTTTGCACTATTGTCACAGCCTATCATGTCATCACGATGCACTGAGCTCCTCTTATTTGGGGTTTTGCATTATGTCTCATGACCCACTAGAAAGGCTTAATGAGTATTTATGCATCAGTATGGCTTGGGGTTTGGGTAGACTAAACAATGCTATATTTATATTACACTGCTTGTTTTGCAGTACATTCAAAGTTGGAACTACAAGCAGTGGAAATATCTGACAGATTAGTATATCACATTTACATTAATTGTAGGGCAGTACATTGGCGCTGACTTGGGTCAAACATTTGGGAGCAGAAAATGTAGGTAACGTTAGATGAAGTCATGTTGTGAGAGGACTGCGTGCTGTGGGTTGTTTTGGGTAGTTATCTCTATAACAGCCTGCAGGCGCAGGAAGGGTTCCAGCATTGACCCTCATGTTGTTCTGCCACTGCAAATAAAATAAAATCACAGAAAATAAAGCATTTAGCAATAAATTATCGGATCCACTTCAAGGTTCCTACGCAGTTTAGAAATGGATGGAAAGTTGATTTTAGTAAAGTCCAAGTCTGGATAAACTTATGGAAAAAAGAAATGAGACTATGGAAAAATATTGTATATATTTATCGAACATATAATATTCAGAATTTCTAAAAATTAATTGATCAAACAAGTGTTTTCATAGTGTTTGAAGCAAGCAGCGAGAGCAGCCAAAAAAATTACCACTGTGTGAGAGAACGCGAGCCAGAGCGAGCTTGATGTCGGCAAAAGCAAGTCAAGAAGCATGTGGTGTGACATCTAAATGTCATATGATCTGAAAAATCTGCATAGAAGTCTTGAAATTTGAGCCTTGAGAAGTCTGCCATTTTGAAATGTAAAATGTGTAGGAACCTTGTCCTCAATACACACGGTAATTGTTACCACACATTTGTTCCTCTACCCGCGATTAATATGATTGCATATGTTTACTTTACACATCTGCGGCGGGAGACCTCTGATTTTGGCTATTGTAATTTACTTTAAAGGGGAACTTGGCAACTCTAGCCATTTCTTCGCTGGTTTTCACTTTTGTCATCGCA